CTTTCCGAATACAACTTTTCGATACACTCAACTTAAACAGTCGCGCTATAACAAACACTATAACGAACGAACGTTAACTTCAACAATACGTCTCTCTCTGACTGCAGTTCAATTACTCATTACCTACACACATATTATTGCGTCACCCTCTTATATATATACCAGACTACCCTATATCTAGTAATCTCCCGACAATTCACGAAGGTACAAGATATTTCCAGAAAGCAGGGGGGCGTGACACTAGTCACGTGACCTCGCTGACGCAACACTGCCCCCTCCTTAATATTATTCGTCCCGAACAATAACCACATACAATAAACCAATAATAATTAACAATAACTTAATTAAATGTACATAATTACAAACACAAAATTACAATTCAACAAAGTCTCTTAATTTTACGGGACGTATCTTCTTCCGTACTGGTCTCCGTCTTGTTGGCTTCTGCTTCACGTGGGGTTCATCTGCTTCATCAGTAAATGTCCTATCATCGGTAACAGTCACATCAGTGGTATTAACTTCATCAAGAGCTTCATCGTTTCTCTTCTCAAAACTGAGTAGAGTTTCCTCTTCGACGGTGGCTTCTTCAGGTGGCACGTCTTCAGCAGCGTCTTTTGTTCTGTTTTCCACTTCGTCCCAACTGAAATGTCCTGGACCGTGATAACGCCAAAGCCTGTTGGCATGCACCACTTTTAGTTTACCTCACCGACCACATTTTATCCGGAAAGTCACGTCTGAGAGACGATTCACTATGTCATATGGGCCTTCCCATGAAGAAGACAACTTAGGAGACTTCCCTTTTGTCTTCCTGGGATTATACAACCATACCTTGTCTCCTGGTACAAAGCTGACTTCAGTAGATCTCTTATCATAAGTTAACTTCATCGAATCACCAGACGTTTTCAAGTTTGAACGCACTTGATGGTGGATATCATCCATCCTTTCCGATAACACTTTCACAAACTCTGACACATTCTCAGGCAACTCTTCATAAGGTGGGCATCCCTTATGCTTGGGTCCCTTTTAGCACTACATGTACTGCATGTCCTGCACCATTCTTCCACATCTCGCCTCATACCTATCCAATAAAATCTTTGTCGTATGTGATTCAATGTCTTCTTGATTCCGAGATGTCCTCCTGTTAAACTATCATGGGATTGACGCAACAGTATTTAATCTTAGTACTTCATGAAACTTTTGTTTTTCTTTTGTATTTCCTGTAATAATGTTTTATACTATTAATAAATTTAACATCTACTTACCATTACTCTTTTATTTTGTTGTTGTAAATTATGTACGTGTAATGCTTGTGTGTTTTCATAATAATTTATGTACTGTACGTAACAGGAAATTAGTCAACAACAACAACAAACGTCAGACACTGAAGCACACATTTTATTATTTTGTTTGTTTGTTTTTGACTTTCGCGCAAAGCTACACGAGGGCTATCTACGTTAGCCGTCCCTAATTTAGCTGTGTAAGACTAGAGGGCAGGCAGCTAGTCATCACCACCCACCGCCAACTCTTGGGCTACTCTAAAACCAACGAATAGTGGGATTGACCGTCACATTATAACGCCTCCACGGCTGAAAGGGCGAGAATGTTTGGTGGGACAGGGATTCGAATCCGCGACCCACAGATTGAGAGTCGAGTGTCCTAACCACTTGGCCATGCCGGACCCTTGCAATGAAGGTGCTGACTGCCGAACGAATCTCGCTCTCAGATGGTAGACCCAATGCAGAAGGGTATTTCATTTTAACTTCTCAAGCATGCGACCAGGACCCATTTACATCATCATACATTTGATTCACATCATTTATATATCGATGAATATACATTTTTCCCCCATAAGTTTTTACTTGAACAGGCCTTATTGCCCAACCTTTCTGAAAAGATTCGTAACGTTTTTCAGGTCCAAGAACAAAATGACTACCTAAATTACCATCATTGATACGTTGAATAAATGCAACAGATCCTCCATCCAGTAGAATTTCAGTAGGTTCAGGAAGACCCCGGATTTAGCTGTGTTACGTCACGAGAGAATCAATGAAAGAAAGTTTAGCCAATTATCTTTTTTTTCGGTTTAAATAGCCACGTGGGACTGATATTTCTTTTTACCTCAGAGGTATGCATTACATGATAATACAAAATGCAACGACTCCTAATTTTATTCACAGTTTTGCACGTCCCCCCCTCCCCATAGATGTAAGTTGGTACCGAGAATTAAATATAACAATATATTCGTAAAGATTTAAAAAGAGAAATAAAATACAATTTCTCTGCATGAAAATAAAAAAAATTTTGAATTTCTGAATAAATTTCGAAAAATAAAAATGCCTCACTGCGAAAAACTAAGATGAAACATTATATACGATAATAAATGTTGGTCCGAGAAAAAACAAATCAGAAAACTATTTTAAATTCCTTACGTATTTTTAAATAGTAAACATCCTGACAGTACAGCGACCGACACGTGCTTAGTAAAATCTAATTCAGTAAATTTAATTTCCTCCAAGAAAAGTGAAACATTTTAACTAATTATAATGACACGTACTATTTATATTTCCTGTCTGACAATGCACAATAAATATTACATTACTAAGTGTACTCCTTGCTGAAAGAAAGGGGTGGGAAACGTCAATAATTTGAAGAATACGTGCGATGTACTCGGAATAATTTCCTTATGTAATTATTATTTTTTATTAAGTTTTTATCCCCTTAAAAAAGGATAATTAGGTTGGCGCTTTCAACACAACGAGGCGGCGGAGAACTTCACTGCCATCTCGTCTGTATTCACTTTTATAAACTAATTTATTTACTGCTCGAGACTCATAAAGAATTAACTCCGTTACTTCATGGACTAACGTATGTACAGGAAGGATGATGACTTGTGACTTACGTTTTCCCATATGAAAAACGGCATAAAAGGAAATGTTAATTCCCTAAAGTTGTTTAAAACTCTTATAAAGACTATACTAAATTTTTTGTATTAATTATTCAAAGCTTGCGCGCGTTGCATCCACTACAAGAACCGTTAGATTGCGTTTATGGTTTTATGTGTCAAAGAACTTTCTTCTTGTAAATTAGTGTATACAAAACTTCTGTCAATAGCTAGAGGGTCAGTCATTCTTTCACCAATATCTAGTGCTTAAGTACACATTGCATTAATTCAGAATGACATTTCTACTCGTGGCTTAAATATTTAAATATGTCATAACTTACTCAAACTATAATGATAATATACATTTTAAAGCTAGTTTCGATAAACTATAATAAAAATTGGGAATATATGCTTAGTTCGTTTAATTAAAAAACACTATTAATAATTATTAAATAAAGCACTTTTATAAGCAGAATTATCAGCAAAACTGACAAAACATGAGCCACAAAAGTTTGTGTATATAGAAAATTCCACACTTTCTATAACGTCACACAGCCACATTTTTGGCCGCGGTCGGGTATTGGGCTACCCGGTAATACTCGGCTTCGGCCGAGTGTCGAAATTAGGCATCTAAGCCCTAATCTTTGTGGCAACTAAAGCGGTACTGAAAGTTACAGTCAATAATTGGCTTAGTTATTTAAAAAAAAAAGTCGGGGATTTAGAGAACTATAGTGGTTAATAACAGAGATGGCTTGAGATATGGATTTCTGGGAAAAGTGGGGGTTTTGTTCAATAGGGGGTTAGGAATTGATAAGTTGGGGCTAGGCATTGAAACTTGAAAGTAAAATTTGAATGTTCTGTTGGTGATTATTCAGTTAAATGTAATAAACGTCAGTTTTGTTTTGTTTCTAATTTTTGTGTATGCTGTTGTTTTTTCTTAGAGGAGGAACAAAAGGAGAACCCGCTCCCGGTTGACACCTGGACCGGCCGAAGCTTAGTGATTGGGTACCCGGACCCGGTTGACACCTGGACCGGCCGAAGCTTAGTGACTGGGTACCCGGACCCGGTATTCGGCCAGATTTCACTAACCGTGCATCCCTAATATATGCCCCCCAGTGGCACAGCGGTATGTCTGCGGACTTACAACGCTAGAAACCGGGTTTCGATACCCGTGGTGGGCAGAGCGCAGATAGCCCTTGTGTAGCTTTGTGCATAATTCAAAACAAACTAACAATCCCTAATATATATACATATATAAGTATTCGATGATGTTTGTAAGATAATTGTTTCTTTACAACTTATATAATGTTTGCCTTTTTTAGAAGGAAGTACACTTTGCAAAAATTGTCATCTAAAATTCAAACAACTCTGCAAACAATATTTTTACATCGTTGTGATACACATTTATCTAAATTTATCTGATTAGTTAATGCTGATGAAAAAAAAATATTAAGGGACTGCATTGTTTTATACTGTAGAGTAACAATTGTGTAAATAACTTTCCATCATCGAACCTACTCCTATATTGCTAACAGCTATAACAGGTATAATGTCTCCTATGTGTATGTACACACTCACACACACATATGTAAGATCTCGGTATTGTATTTTCGAATGTCATGGATTAATAGCATTGATAAAAAAATACATCTCAGTATTTACACTCGCATATATTATTTTTAACTGCGGAGTGGACAGTAGTAATGTTTTTTTATAAGAAATAAACTCAGTGGCGTAGGGGAAGCGAGGGGGCCGGGTACCCCAATTGTCAATCTGTTCCAGTAAAATTGCATCAAAATTAAGAAAATTACTGTCAGTAGAAGTAGAAGAATGCGTAATCCAGAACCTTCTGGTAGCTTCTAAGGCCCCTAAGGCGAGCTCTGGGCCCTGGCCGTAATGGGTGTGCCTGTGGCGCACATTCCCTTGTTACGGTCGGTCAAATAAACCTTGCCTCACCTCTTTTAATTTCCATCCTAAACCTATGCAATTCAATGATCTAATGATATTTATAGAGAATTTCCATTTTGAGGGTAAACCAAGTTAGATAAAAGCGATGTTTCAGTTCACGTGCTTCCGCTATAGTTGCTCATGCTCGGTCTGACAACCATGATTGCTTACACAGCAGTTAGTTTCCTCCATAAAGCTCTGATTAGAAACACGTGTCATTACGGATTTATTTATTTTAGCAACGAGCTGAAAAACTCAAAATTTAGATATTACTACACTGTTTTTTTTATATACGTTATTCATGTAATGACGATGTGTTAATAGTCCATAGCAATATTTGTGTTAGGATTCGGATGTCGTATTTGAAAGATGTAGTATGTTTCGGGTATTTGCAGATCTTCTTTGAATCAACGGTTTCCTCTCGTCTGCATAGCTGTAATATCTTATTAGGGAAATTTATGTGAAACAATGGCTTCAGATTCTACGCAAGTTTTGTGTTCGTTAATGACATGAAATTATATATAAAGCACAGAAATATGTGTGTCTTCCTTATTTTCTGTCTGTCCGTTATCTAACTACTCCTAAGTTGCTGGGCCAATCTCAATCATACTTTGCGAGGTGATAGTTTGGAACAAGAGGCATGTTAATGGTTGGTTGACAGCCCCCTCCACCCCATTATTACTGTATTGAGCATATATTATCTTTGACATAAGTTAACCTATTCTACGTATAGAGACTTGGTAACCTCTAAGGTCAAAGTTTTTCGTATAATTTGTATCTTCACGATTTCTTTAAACTTCAGCTGTCACATTTTATTAGCTTAATGTATCGAATTTTTGTTTTGACTGGAATCTTGTTCAATTTTTGCATTTGTCATCATATCACATGTCATAGAAAGACTTACTTGTAATCATAAGAGGTGGAACCAGGGGGACTGGGGTACGTGACCCAAACTTTGAACCGGTGGTGAAGTGCCCCTTTGAATGAGGAATACATACTTGTATATAACTATTATGGAAAGTCGCTGTTTCAATCTTGAATTCAATGGTCATGGTACCCCACCTCCAATTCAAATATGTTTTGCCTCATATGTTTATAATTAACTGATAAAAACAACAACACACGAATCATGTAAAAGTATCGCGCATAAAGCAAAGAAAACTAACCGACACGGTAAAGACTTTTCACGAAACGAGACAAAGAGTTTAGAGTTTTGCTTTACTTCTTTCCAAACAGTTATATATTAGTCAGAAACTCTAGCGGAAAATGTTGGCATGAAATACAGAAGAAAATAAGTTATTAATTATGATAACTTACGAGCGAATGAAAGTGGTCCTTTCGTCAATGCCGTGGTTCATCAGGTCGGCTGGAAATCAACAGACATAGTAGCTATTTATATCATCATTAAGAGTTTGTTTGTAATTATGCACAAAGCTACACAATGGGCTATCTGTGCTCTGCCCACCACGGGTATCGAGACCCGGTTTCTAGCGTTGTAAGTCCGCAGACATATCGCTGTGCTACTGGGGGGGGGCTTCATTAAGAGAGAAAACAAGTTTAACTATTTGACAAAGCAGATGTCGTCAGGATCAATGAAACAAATATTGTTAAAGAAAGTGACAGACGCTAATTGTTGTACATAAACTTACGTTTTAACTCACTACTAGAACAGATGATACGAGAGTGTGATGGATAACTACTGAAATGAAGAGTTGTCTTCTACGGGCTTTTATTAGAAGCATCAGTAGTTATTTTTGTTATGATGCACATGATATTAAAACTTTCAGTTAAATTTTGGCGTATAATGGCGTAACTCTTCCAGAACACTGACTGGA